AGCTCAAAACATCCCTTTTGTACTTTTTTTTTTTATTACCACTCCAAACTTGATCTCTTATTTGAATTTGTGTTTCACCCACCCACACACACACACACACACACACACACACACACACACACACGTACACACATCCACCAAGCCTATTGATTGAGAATGAAGCTATAGTACTTGATCAATTTAATGAAAGGATAATGTGTAACAGAAGCTTTAAATGTAAATTTAGAGAAGTATTTGGGAGAGACTGCAAACTGGCATTTACCTGGCTTTCCTTGTCTGTCCACCATATGTCAGTTGTCTTGGATACTTGAAAAATTAGGTGCCTCTTGCCCTTTCTGGTAATTCCATCTCCTCCCTTTGCTTTGGTTGACCCCCATGCCGGGAATGTTCTCTCCTTGCCTCTGCCTCTTATAATCTCTAGTTTCCTTCCAGTCCTGACCTATACTCCATACAGCAAGCTTAGAAAATCTCTGATGATTTCCATAAACATTAATTCATACATGATTTTTTTCTACCCCTCTCTTGACTATAAAACTTGTTTTTAATGATAACAAAATTCTTAGGTAAACCTAGGGCAAACTTAGTGGCTGGTGGGGAGGGAGGGGAGAATCCTAGTTGGGACCTTTTGTACTCCCCTCTCCCAGCCCAGCTCATCTTGGGGCCACCCTGTAGCTATGCTACTCCTCTCCTCAGAATGATAACAGTACAGAAAAGTACAGCCCAGCTCTGCAATGCCCCATCTCTGTGAGTGGTTCATCGTTGAGGAATTACTTTCCAGCAGAATTCTTGTCTCCCAGGCTGCCCCATTGCTACACAGCCCCTTTATCTGGGAGCAATGAGTCCCAAGAAGTAAATAGCCTATTTCCCTGAAGGGTCCCACATCCCCTTAAGCAGAAAAGAACCTAGGGGAACCAACCATACATACAACTGCTCCCATGTGTGCAATCCCACCTGGTTTTGAATAACATCACTCCAGGGGATCTTGTCCCAATCTGTTCCTTATCCTGAACCAACTTAATAGGGACCTGGACTTTCTTGCCCCCCTCCCTTTTGTAGGAGATTGCCACCAGGAAAAGGTCTGCCCCTCCGGGCAAAGCCTTAATGGCCCGGCTCCGTAGTTGGCATAGTTTCCAGTTTTAGGGGGTATCACATGGTGGGGGGAGAGTTTTTGCAGGAGGGGTGTGATACATAGCGGTTGGATGGCCTCAAACTTGTTTTTGTTAAAAAGTGCTACTGGCTCAAAAATGCCCCCCCCCCCACGATCTTTGCCCCTAACAGAACTTTAAGTATTAGTATTTTTCAAAGTATACTTTCTGGTCAACCTAAGCATTCACAGCACCAGTGACCTCATGGTATCCACTTACCTATATAACAGTATCTTATTCTGTCTTAGCTAGGACACTTTGATAATTGACTTTCCCAATCTCAATTCAACAAACATTTAAGTGCTTATTATTTGCTAGGAAATAGTGATCCAGAAAAGTAGTTCTTGACCTCAAAGAGCTTAAACTTTAATACGTATAACTAAATCATTTATGAATGTAAATATATCCCCTAGGAAAACTAAACCCATGATAAATTTGTGTTTTCTTTGAAGGACAAGACTTACTGGGGAACTCTTCTTTTAGGCTAACCTGACAGTGAACCAAAATCAAGCTGATCAACATGATGGAATATCTTATCTGTGAAATGTAATTACTTGATACTTTGGAGATCAAGTCTGTGACAATTATATTGAATATTTCTCTCCTTTGTATATTCTGTAGTCCAATCAAACTGCCATTTCCCCCATATAAAACATTCCTTCTCAAGTCTCTGTAGCTTTGCAAAGATTGACATGCCAACTCCACCCCATGCCTAGAATGCCCTACCTCTTCCCCACTCTGCCTCTTAGAACCAACCCAGAACTCCCTTGAAGACTCTGCTCAAACCACTTTCTCACAAGAAGACTTTGCTGACTTTTTTTAACCTCATCCACATGTTACTTTGTATTTATTTATGCTTTCATTGATTTCCTTCCCTCCCCAATAGAATGAAAGCTTCTTGAGGGGAGAAACTGTTCCATTTTTGTCTTTGGTTCCTCCTGCCCCATGTCCCCTCATAGTAAGCCTTTAATAAATGCATTTTGAATGAATAAATCTTGAGCATCTTTGGTGACTTAGGTTCCACAATAGTTTTCTCTTTGAATAGAACTGATTAGAAGGCAAAAACCTATGAATTGCAAACTTTTTTTTTTACCTTTAATGTTTGCACATCCTTAAATGGTTAACCATTTATAAACTTGGGAGAAGATAAAATAAAGACTACTGACTTCCATAGGAGAGCCCTAGGAACTCTTAGCTCGTTAAGTTTGAGATATGCTTACTCAAAAATCTGGATAAATCCTCTGATTTTTCTTTTTTTAAAGAATAAATGCAAGTGATTCTATAGATGCCTTAAAGAAAGTGGTTCATTGTTGAGGAATTAGAGAAGGTGTGTGTGTGTATATGTGTGTTTGTTTGTATAGAAAGGAGGGAGGCTCTGAGAAAGAGAATTAAGTGCAGGTTTGTTTGGGGGAGGGTTTTCTGAACCCAAGGATATAGGCTTCTTGAACTTAACAATTGATAGTGTCTCATGACTTTAGTTAAGATTTGTCTTTTCAGTTGCTGCAAAACAAGAAATGCTTTTGTCTTTGGGGAATGATTAAGATATTCCAGTCTAGGAAAACTTTTGGTACTCTAGATTTATATGTTAACCATGACTATTTAACTTTTCCCTTTTTATCCACCCCCCCCCCATTGAAGCTACTAGAGCAGAGACTCTGTTGCAAAATGTGTCCTATTGATGTTGCCTCTTAGATAATGCTACAAAGAAATTAATAGATTGTAGAAAATGTCTAGTCTTGTTAAACTGACCCTTTAAAAACAATGTTTCCTCATGAACAAATAACAATACACAATTATTAACTTGCTTAATTCTATTGAGAATCATTCAGTTCTAATTGCTGGCTGTTGGGAAAACTGAAAGATGATTAGAACTAACCCAAAACAGCATGGACCTCAGGAGGAGTCCAGAGGTAACCTAGTGGTTGGTTACCTGTTGTTATGGTTTTTAAAGCAAAGCCTTGATGACCACTTGTTGGTAATGTAGAAGACAAGATTTTTAAGCTCTGGGTAGGACGAAATGATCTCTAAGGTTGCTTCCAACTCTAAGAATTCAAAGACTGCCATTTGCCATTTTTCAGAATTATGCTTATATGCAGTAATAGCCCACTTCTACCCAAATCTTTAAATATAAGGAAACAGACTTTAAAAAAAAAAGATATATGCATACCATATTCTCCCAATAAATCCTTTTTGGTTTCTCTCAACTAAAACATCAAATGAATTGCATAGTTAGTAAAATTTGTTTAGTTTCTTCACTAATCATTGAAGTCAACTACTTCATAGCATGTGGCTTCTTTCTCTTTCTCCCAGAGCCGGAAGACCTGACTTCAAATCCCCCCGCCCCCGTAACACCTACTGCCTCTGTGACCCTGAGCCAGTCACTTAACCTCTTAGTGTGCTAAACAACTCTCTAAGACCATAAGTTGCCAAGAAGGTGTCCAATTGCATTGACTGGAGTAGTTCCCCACCTCTGAAGGGGAAACCCCCACTCACCTTGTTCCTCTCTTTGACTCCACAGCTAATGTTCTTTCTATTATGCTAAACTACTTCAAATAATTAGTCTATCAAGTGATCTCCCTGCCTCTACTATTTATTAGGTCTGACAGCATCATTACTCTGTTTTTAAAGGGGAAAAAAAAATTAAACACCACTGGTTCCCTCTTGCTATTGGATAATATACCAACTACTTAGCCTGGATTTCATTTGGAGCTACAATCTAGCTCCAATATGCCTTTCTAGCCCTGATGCATACCATACTTTTCATGTATTCTAAGTACAACTCAGACTACACTCATAGCCATTCATTATTTCATCCTTTACTTTATTACGGGTTGATCCATGTCTAGAATTCATTCCTACAATACTTCTTCCTGCTGAAACCCTTCTTCCTTGAAGGTCTAACATGGATGAATCCTTCTTCTGCGAATGTATTCCTCTTTTCTCCCCTAGCAAAGTATCCCTAAGTGCTTTTAGATCTCTTTGGATCTTTTTTATGCCTCTAATACTATTCTAACCTCTATCATTTGCATGCAAGTCTTATTCATTCCCCTCCTCCACCCACAACCAGTGCAGCAGATCGTAAACTTCGTAAAGTGAGAACTGTTTTATCTTTACATTACTGTTACCTAACACAATATCTTGTATATACAGAGACTTGCTGTTTGAGTTGAGTTGAGATGCTAGTCCTATTTGGCATTCATAGGGTCTTGTAAAATCAACCTCTGACAAGTATTCAGTCCTAAAAACAAACAAACAAACAAAATTGTAACCTACAATGAATGGGGGTGGGACTTTTTCACAGTGGATGTTTTAATCCAATTGCTCAACTTCAAACCAAAATTATCTAGCTAATAACTTAGGGCACCTAGGGCTACTAAGTAGCACAGTGGATAAAGCACCAGGCCTGGAGTTAGGAAGACTTATCTTCTGAGTTCAAATCCAGCCTTAGACACTTACTAACTGTGTAAACCTGGGCAAGTCACTTAACCCAGTTTGCCTCAGTTCCTCATCTCTAAAATGAGCTGGAGAAGGAAATGGCAAATCACGCCAGTATCTCTGTGAAGAAAACCCCAAATTCGGTCATGAACAGTAGGACACCACTGAAACAACTAAATAACTAACCTATGGAGACACTCAACAGGATCAATTTCCATTTAAATAACTGTCCTTGTTAAACTGGTTAAGAACTTACCATGAAAAGTGTGTCTTTCAAACATCAGAACTCTGTCAAAAGGGAGAAATGAGAAAAATTAGCAACATAGAATCTTTAGGACTTAATGTTTGCTAAGTTCTATTGTTCTTATGTCTTGGTGTAGATAACTTATGTGGGCATATGCCTCTGACTTCTGCTTACAGATCACCTTGGATTATGTCCATCTGAGATTCCCCAATTGTGAATCCTCCTGGGATCTCTAAGCATCTCCTGGAGCCAGGGTTTGCAGCCAGCTTCCTCAAAATGTCTGCTGAAGTAGAAACCAACATGGCCAATGGTCAGCCTGATCAACAGGCAACCCCCAAATCCTCATCAAAAAAAGAAAAAAAGAAAGGTACAAAGGATCTTCTTGACCTGATGTTTTAACAAAGCAAAATCATATTTTTTGTGAGTTTATTACTTTAGTGTTAGGGCAATTCTGACACCAAGGAAGAGCTGAGCCAGTGAGAGAAGGCTTTGGCTGAATCTCCAATAAGTATAAGATTAAATGAAATGTACTAGAGCCTGAGAAAATAGGAACTTTCAAGGAAAACTGTCCAACTTAAATAGAAAATAGGAGTGGAAATAATACTTTTTTTTTTTAACTGAGAAGGTGGCTAAAGAAGAGATGGTAAAACTCTTATACTTGATTGTCACAAGAAGCATGGTGTTTTGTCACTTGGGGGGGGGGGGCCACCATGAGGTTTTTAATAAGCCTTTCTCAGTTTTCCAAAACCAGTAGAATGGGATTTTAAAATTTCATGTCTCTGTGGTTCATTACATCCAAAATTTCCCTCAATATCTTGTCTCCTCACTTTACCCCAATATTCACAGCATTCCTTTAAACCAAGAAACAAAGACCATTACAGTAACTATTTGCCAGGTCTGGAATCCATAATCATCTGATCTGAATATATTATTTATGGATATTTATTATGATGTTGAGATTCCTTTATCTTATAATGATAAAAATTGATGAAAAAAATTGTAATCTTGCCTTATGAAAGGAGTTAGAATTTTTTTTAATGGTGGATGGGAAAGAGGAAAATGAGAAGGCAATGCTAATCTACATCTGTTTCTATACAAGGACTCCAACTTCTGAGCAACTGCATTTTTGGGGTGGTTTTATTTACATTATTATGGCATTTGCAATTACAGTTCTGCATGCTTTGCTCTATGTTAGCTTGTAAAAGTCTTTCCAGATTTCTCTGATTTTCTCATTCACCGTTTTTCTGGCAAAATAATATTGCATGACATTCACATGCCACTAGATCTAGAATAGCATTTTATGTTTCATAAAAAAATATATATTTTCAGGGGAACAACATGACACCAATCTAGATTAGCTGAGTAATAAGATCCTCAAGTTCCATGGAAGGTCTTTAGGCTCCTGTTGTCAAAGCACAAGAAAAAGGGAGGGGATTGTCTTTGTAAGGAATTTAGATCTGAATGAAATCTTCAGCCCTAAGATGCTACTAGTTAATATCTTTTTCATATCTTCTTAGGGATATGGAAGTAAATCAAAGCATTCTTTTTTTCTTCAGTTTACCCTTCCCTCCCATTCTCTGAATAAAGTATTGTTGAGTGTGACATTGCCAAAAGACAATCAGAGATGGGCAAAAACTAAACAGCTGACTTGCTCAATTAACTGGATAAATCACTGTGTAACCAAGACACAAGAGTAGCCATAAATATTCCAAAACCTTGGAGAGCTTCTGAAGCATGTTCATCCCTGAGTCTTGAGTCAAATATTTCATACAGCTCTTACCTTAGGGTTGTATTTTAATTTATAAGCTTTATTTTTTTTTCTTCTCTAGGAACAGAAAAAACAGATGAATATCTCTTGGCCAGGTTCAAAGGTGATGGAGTAAAATACAAGGCCAAACTAATTGGCATTGATGATGTGCCAGAGGCAAGAGGGGATAAAATGTGTCAAGACTCTATGATGAAGTTGAAGGTAAAGACTTGACCTCTGCAATATAAGGGGAAAGGAATGAAATCAATATGCAATAGCATAGCAGAAAGATGGTTGGGGTGGTGACAATGGTTGGTCTGGGTACAGCTCATTTAAGTAGGCTCTCCGCTATCAGGACAGTGTAGCCTCAAGGGCAGAAGTTCCAGTAGCAGTGGGGCAAGAAGATGGTGTGAGGGTGAAAGGGATGGAAAATGACAAACATCAAAGGTTGTTATTTTCTATATTTGAGGGAAGTCATTGGTAATTATTTTGGCTATTAAAACTAGAAGCTCTTTTAAGGCAGATATTCATCTTTCTGGGGTGGTTAATTATACTGTGTCTAGCTTCCATAACCTCCCCCTACCCCCTATTTAAATGTTTAACCAGATTCTTAACATGCCTACAGCTGCTATATGGACAGTGAACCGATGTGAATATTAAAGCTCACCTTGACATGACCTTCAGCTTTAAATCTCTTTTCTTTCCCAATGCCAACTTTCAGGGAATGTCAGTAGCTGCTCGGTCTCAGGGACAGCACAAACAGAAGATCTGGCTGAATATTTCTCTCTCTGGAATTAAAATAATTGATGAGAAAACTGGGGTAAGAATCCAATAGCATTGAGCTTGGTTTGTGACTGTTCTTGATGTGACTAGCTGGTTTGGAGAACTTGGAAACTTGAGTGAGTAAGCTTCCTTCACTCCACCTGAAGCTGTGGAAGAGAAATATGATCTTGCCCTCAAAGATGTTGGATTTTTTATTTTTAGCTAGAAAGAAGGTAGAGTGAAGAAGATAAGAAATCAAATGCTAATTAATTCTTTTTACGTACAAATTCTCCAACTTCATGAAATGTTGTTAAACTAGACTGACTATTTTGGAATGGTTCTCCCTTATTGCACGTAACTCAGGAACAGTGTCTAACTTAGAGCATCCGTTCAAATGAACATTAAAGAATTGGATGGCAGAGGAGGGGAAATACCTATTCCTATGAAGGTTGGGGCCTTCTCTCTAAACCTCTATTAATGGCTTTCTTCTCAAGAAAATCTACTTCCTTTTAGACCTCTTTATTCTCCTTATACCCTACTTTAGGTTATATTTTGGCCAAAGGACTATGTAAGCCAATTTGTTTCTTAGTTATTCCCTTCAAAAACTTCTGGTCCTCTAATCTTCCCTTTATTTAGTGCTTATACTACAGCATGGGAAAAAAAAAAAACTTTGCAGAGTGAAAATAGTTTTAACAGAACATGCATTGTTTCCATTGAGGTTTTTCACTACTTGCCCTGCGAGGGAAATGTGGCTTTAGCAGTCAACTAGAGGCCAAAATTTTTTCTTCCCTCAAATTCTAGCTCCTTGAAGAGGCATGTCTAATGTCAGTAAAAGCAAGAGGTGCTAGTAGTACTGGCTGGTAAATGGACTTTGTGGTTTTCCAGAAACAAGTTATAACTTTGTCACAGGTGATCGAGCACGAACATCCCGTAAACAAGATCTCTTTCATTGCCCGAGATGTGACAGACAATAGGGCTTTTGGTTATGTGTGTGGAGGAGAAGGACAACATCAGTTTTTTGCCATAAAAACTGCACAGCAGGTAAGAACTCTAGGGCCCAGGAGTAGTAATGGGGAATATACAGTAGAAGGGGAGGGGAACCAAAATTAGAATAAAAGGGATTTTACACATTAGACACACACACACACACATACACACACACACAATTCTTTTCAGTGTTTCCATGAAATTCCACACTTAGCTATGGATAGGTAGAGGTAGGTGAGGTCAAGATGCATCTAACTACATTTCTTCCCTCCTTTGCCCTTGTCCAAAGCAAATATAAACAATTTGGAACATGGAAGATAGAAGGGAGGTGTCTAAGTGTGTCTTCAAGCAAACATTGGCAACCAAATAAAAATAAATTATACAAGTGAATTTTCTAGTCAGTGGGACTTAGGGTTTTTTGTTTTTTGGTTTATTGGTTTTGTATTTTGGTTTTTTGGTTTGGGGTTTTTAGGAGTTTTTTGGTCCACTTTTCCTGTCTTTTTATGCTTAACTCATGGTAGTTATTTTTCTCAGTTTTCAAATTCAAGAAACAAAAGTCAAAACCTGGATTCCTTCTAGAAGGACTTAAGCATCTGGATTCCTTCTCTCTTTTTTTCATCTGGACCATTTTCTTTTAGTGTTGGTTTTTATTTTTAAAATTGCTGTCACTTTCCAATGATTTCTCTTTCATTCTCTCTACCCTCTCTCTTCCATAACACAGAAGCAGAGCTAAAGAAAACAAACCTATACATTACCCATATATGACAGCATATGCCTCATTCCACATTTGTAAGAATTAGGGCTCTGGACAGAAAAGAAAAAAGAACAGTGAAATATATACCTCAGTTTGAATGAGCTTTCTTGGCAGTTCTAGAACTAATTTATGACTGATAAGAGTCTCCTTGGCAGACTACATTTCCCAAATATTCTTGTTACCCATCTGGGAGCTGTGTTGAAAGTGATTGAGTGTGGTAAGACTAAAAGGGGATCCAGAATATCTTCATCTTTTGTATGCTAATTTGAAGTAGTTATACTTTAAAACCAGTTCATTGGTGATCATTTGATAGGCACGATATAGCAGGCATCTCCATAGGAACTCATTCTCTCTAGATTCTAGAATAATAGTTATATATAGAATGATACCTACATGGCTATCTAGATAGCCATATAACTAGCTATATAGATATATCTACCTATAATATATACATATGTGTGTGTGTGTATCTGAGGATGGCAGTGTACAAGGAAGACCTAGAAGCAATTAGAGTGCATTGGATAATGATAGAAAGTCAATTCTCTAACATGAGTAATGGAGTCAGGAAGATCTGGGTTCAGATTTTAACTCAAGTATTTGCTTAGTTCTATGGTTCTAAGCAGATTAACTTCACTAAGGCTCACTGTCTTCATCTGTAAAATAGAGGGGGAGGTAATACTTGTAGCACTTTCTTCACAGGGCTATTGTGAGGAGCAAATAAAATGTATGTAAAGTGCTTTGAAAATCTTAAAACAGTATATAAATGCGAGCTCTGTAGTACTCTAGTAGAATGGCATAGTGGACAGAGCACTGACCATGAGTCCAAGAAAATCTGAGTCAAATTCTGCCTCTAAAACATACTTGCTATATGATCCTGGAGAGGTCATTTAACTTTTCAGAGTTCTAAGCATCTTTCTAAGTTGTAGCAAAGGTACTGACCTGCATTGGTAGAAGGAATCTCCTGGCCTGGGATTTCTGGATGCCAATGAAATCAAAGGTTCAGTCTCTATCCCCACTTTTATTGAAAAGATCTATTGTTGATAAGTGTGATTCATCCTTCTGATACTGATTGCAACTTCTCTATTCCTTACTACTTCTGATTGTCTTTATGAGTTGCTGTGGCCAAAACATTTACTAACCTGCTGGTCAATCTTTGAGCGATGAGTCCTTGTACTCAACAAGGCTAATTCTTAGATAGCAGACATGTCATTTGTCAGCAGGCCAATTTCCAAAGCCCTTTCAGCTTTGGCAAGCCCTGCTAATGCTTGTCTGCCACTGGCCATAGCTTTTGAAAATCCCACAATACAATGAGGTTGCCTACCAGAATTTCAGGAGAGACACTTCATATTACCTCACTGATTCCAATCTTATCTGTTCAATTTCAATCTTCTCCCATGAATGGGAGAAGGTTTGGGATGAAAGAAGAAATTGATTCTAATCTTTAATTTAACAAGGGGGAAGGGAAAAAGTAGCAATCTAGGAATCACTAAATATTTTTGTTTGTTTTTAGGCAGAACCATTAGTAGTTGATCTTAAAGACCTTTTTCAAGTCATCTATAATGTCAAGAAAAAGGAAGAAGAAGATAAGAAAAAGGCAAGTACTAGAGTGTGATAAGTTGGCAGGAATAGATAGCTTGATGAGTTGTTTTTTTTAATTACTACAATCATAGAGCACTTGGGTTATCATATCTGAATATATTGTTTATCACTGAAATTCTTGACTTCAATCTCTTGTCAAGATAGCCACAGACCATAGTACCATTTTAATTGATCTGTTGGGAGGACACTCAGAGACCGTGGAGTTAGGGACACTCAGAGACCATGGGGTTAGCACACATATCACAGCTTCCAGGTTAACCCTAAGGTTGGCTTTAAGCCCTGGTTAGATTAAGTCCAAGAAATCTGTTCTAATCTGTAGCTGCATGAGGAGGTGAAGGAACACCTTTTTTTTTTTTCTTTCTGGGATAGAGAACCCACTAGGCAGGTCTCTTTCTCCAGATTCCTTCTCTTCTTTTACCTAGATCAACTCTTCTGAATCCCGAGGGGTATTCAGAATCAGCCCATTTATTCAAGGGTTCTATGAACTAGGAGCCCACAATGATTCTAGAGAGCCACAGGGACATTGCCTATCCATCTGAGGAGCCAAGGCAATTTTGCTAGCCTGTTTATGCTATGTGGCATTGTGCCAAGCTACAAAGAATTCTAAAAGCCAATTCAATTTCCTGCAGTTTTAGGATGGAAACAAGTGAGTTTTGTTTTTTGTCTGTCTGCCTTAAGGAGCTACTACTAGATGAGACCAAAGCGGTGGTGCAGATTTCTGGAAAATCTAGGTATTTTAGTAAATGCAGCTAACATAATTTTCCATTTTTTTTATTTGTAGACTGAAGAAGCCAACAAAGCAGTTGAGGTAAATGTGTTTCTATGCTTGTATAAATAGTTTGATCTAATGCAAATGTTGCACTATCCTTCTCTTATAATTGAAGCAGAGTATTCTCCAATACAAAATCCAAATCTTTGTTTAGTGAGCCATTAAAATTGGGAATAAATACTTAATTAAACTATAGATTTTGGAGTCAGAAGTTCAAATCTGGGCTCTGCTACTTAACAACTTATGTGACCTTAGACAAAACAATGACTTCTCTGGGCTTTCTCTTAAAACAAGAGGTTGGATTAGATTTCTCAGGGTCTCTTCCAGCTCTAACATTCTATGATCCTGTGACCTTTTCAGAATGGGAATAAAGACCTGCTCACACTTGATTACCCAGCTAGCAAAATGAAATTGGTATGTCTATGAAGTCTTATGATTCTGCCCTAATTGTATATATTATGCTCTGTGGATAATGCTAATGTAGCCATAAAATTAGCAAATCCCATTATCACTAACAATTCTGTATGGATATTTATTTTTCTACTATAAATGCTATTTTAATGTTAATGTAGAAACATAGTACTGGTATATGTCTTAATCTAATCAAAATTGCTTTTTTAAGGGTGTTGACCAGATGGATTTGTTTGGGGACATGTCCACACCTCCTGACCTAAATAGTCCAACAGTAAGTATGTGGGGAGCACGCTGGGGGAAAAATTTTGCACCATAATAGCACTTATGCCTGTAATTTTATTTCAAAATACCAACAGCCAAAAGATTTGCCTTTCCCAGCAGGAAATACATCCCAAGTTGCCATATGGATTTTCTACATAAAATATAAAGACATTATAGTATCACTTATAAATCATGCAAGTTGTACTTTTAAAAAAGTTGCATCATCTCAACAACCTATATTTATCATCTGAAAGATAAGCTAGTCAGAAAATTTCACCCTTTCAGGTAATTAAAAAAAAAAACAGAGGAAGAAGCTGAGTAGAACCTGTTGACAAAACCAAATTCGACTTGAATATTCAGATGCCAGAATTCAAGATGAAGATTTCACCCTAGTCTCCCCTTTCTGTTACCTTTTCCTGCCTAATCAATTTCAATTCATTGGCAAGCTCATTTTCAAAAGGTTTTGGAAACAAGAGCACCAAAGGAAACGTGGGACTGGAAAGAAATTAAATGATTCTCAGTCAGCTAGCGTTTATTAAACACCTACTATATGGCAGCCTCAACATAGAGCACTAGAGGTGCCAAAAAAAAAAAAAGGCAAAAACACTGTCTCTACCTTCAAGAAGCTCACATTCTAATGGGGAGACAACATGTAGACAGCCTAGGTACATACAAGTTGTATATGGAATAGGTGAAGTTCATAGCAACTTGGGATGTAATTTTTGTTCTTATACTTGCTCCCTATCTCAAACTCCCACTCATGCAAAAAGGCCTAGTTTAGCTATTTCCAAGTAAAACCTGTGTATTTCAACACTCCCATATCACCTGAATATTTGGGACTTTCCTCCTCCCACCCATACACTTCTCCTCAAATTCCTATAACCTGTTTTTGTGCTACTGTTCCGTAGTTATCAGTCAAGTGTTTATTGAGTGTCCATAAGTTATGTATTCACATCTGGCTCCTGCCTCTTCAGGAGTACCCAATCTAATTGATGTTATAGATAAGCACTATCAGTATAAGTAAAGAGAGAAATATAGTTAGGGCAGGCAGAGTGTGTGTAAAAGTCAGGGGCTGGAGGAGGGACTAATTGGGAGAAGCTTCTTAGAGAAACTCGGTCTTGATCTACCTATAAAAAAAAGACAAGAAATACAATGGGAAATGATAAATGGCATTTCTTTGAGAGGGCATCTGGAGTGAATGTTCTCTGTCTAGAACTCTAGCCCAGTGTCTATCAGTTACTCAAGGCCAAGGCTGGCTCCTTAACAAAGCCCTCCCTATGAGCCTCAGTAGAAGAGTTGTTCCTTCTCTGAAAAAAAAAAATCTCATTTCTATCACACTTCAAAGTTTACAGAGTAGTTCCTATGAAACAAAAAAGGGGGTGTTTTTCCCACACTAATGAAAGAGAACAATGGTGTAGCCTGTTTCATGTAGTAGATAATGCAGATATCCTTATTTCCTGTGGCATAGGCAGTAAAAGGATCCACAACTGACAGATGAGGAAACTGGGTCTCAGATTAACTTGGCCAAGTTCACCCAGCTAATAGGTATCTGTGTCATGTTGAATAGAAGTTAATGTCCTTCCCATTCTTCCGCATTGCCTCTCCTCTGAAATGGCATCACACTGAACAGCATTGTAAGACTTAACAATGTAAGGGATGAGAGGCAGCATGGCATGTTGGAGAGAACACTGGCTTCAAAGTCAGGAAGACCTGGGTTCAAGAGTTGCCTCTGAGTGACCCTAAGCAAGTAACTTCACCTCCATACTCTGGGCCACTCTCTAAGACTATAAATTATAGAAAATTACATTAGTAGAAGGAGTTTTCTGATCCAGGAGTTCCCCTGTAGTAATGAAAATACCAGTTCAGTATCAATAAGGTATTTAGAGATATGTCTTAGCTTTTGCTACTAAACACCTTCAAGTTCTATTTCTCTATCTCTCATAGCCTTTAGTATAATGCTTTGTACATCATAGATGTTCAGTTGTAGAATGTAGAGTCCCATAAAGGGTGAACTTGGTTCCAAGGGGACTGCACAGGCTAAAGCTGAGATTAGAAATGAAGATGGGGAGGGGCTAATTGGCTGACTGCTTAGGCAAGAGTCAAAAGGAAGAACCTAGGATAGAAAAATTGAAGTGGAAGATTATAGGCTGAACTAAATTTAAACTGACTGCTTATAAGGAAGTGAAGTTTTATGCCTTAAAAAAAAATTAAAACACTTGGCAGGTGACATCAGGTTATTAGGCTAGAAAATCAGGGTAACACTCTGGATATGCATTACCTTAATTTTTGTAAAGGGCTGACAGTTTTATTATGCTGTTTAAGTGGACAAAATGAAGAGCTAAAAGCTGGAAAGATTCAAAACTCAAAACAAAAGAACAGTAATGGTTTAATCCCAGCTTGGAAAGATGAAGGACCCCAGGAATCTCTGCTCGGCCCTGTGTTCTATGGCTAGGCCCAGATCAGTGTGAACAATGATTCCTCTGAAGTGGGCACATCATTGAAATTCACACTACATATTTCCATTGAGCTGAAACTAGTTGTTTTACATAATTATAACTTCAAATAACACAAATTGGAATATATGGGACCACTTAGGGAAGAATGCATTATTTGCACTAATCCAGACCGTGCTGTAGTAATGCTTCTCTGGATGACTAAATTTTCTCTATGTTTAAATACAGCTTAGGTTACTAGCATAACAAAATAGAGATAAGGGGACAGAAAAGACAGAATTTAGTGAAAGGAAGATTTAAGAGACTATGGGGGCGAGGAGAGGAAATAAGAATTTATGTGGCACCTACTTTATGCCAGGCACTGTTCTAAGCACTTTCAAAATATGATCTCATTTGATCTTTACAATAAGCCTCTGAGGTAGATGCTATTATTATTGCCACTTTACAGTTGGAGAAACTGAGGCAAACAGAGGCTATGTGACTTGCCTAGGGTCAAAAGCTAGTAAGTGTCTGAGGTTGGACTTAGACTCATGTCTTCCTGACTTGCCCTATCTACTGTGCCACCTAGTTGCCTCAACTTGCCTATCACAAACAAGAGTTGAAGATGGTATTCCTAGCCTTGGTTGACCAGAAAACTAGTGGTAGAAATAATGAAGCTGTGGGAATACGTGTGTGTGTGTGTGTGTGTGTGTGTGTAGTTAGGGCTGGGGTCAAAGGGGAGGTAGATGAGTTTGAAATAAATTATGGGTCAGATGTTGGCAGGACATACAGATGGAAACACTCAGTAGGTAATTGGAGATAAAGATCTGGAGATTAGGAAAGAAGTTTGGACTGGAGAGTGATTACTAAGGAAGAGGATATGGATAAGGGTCAAGGTCAAGGACAGATCTATGGGGAGGATTGGCACTGAAGGAATTAGAAGAAGATGAAAAGTGTTAGGAGTTAGAGGAAGATAGTCAGAAAAGTACAGTGTCACAGAAAACTCAGGAAGAGAGAGTTTCCAGAGAGAAGGGTTATTAAATATTGAATAAAGTAAAAGGTTTGAAGAGGATAAGGATTAAGATCATTGTATTTGAAGGCTGATAAGTCATTGACTTTTTAAGAGAATAATGTCAGTGGAGGAGGAATAAGGGTAAAAAATGAATAAACACTAAAGAAATTGAATTAGTAAGTATGACCATCCTAAATGATTTTAGGAAGAAAATGGTAGTTTGGGCTTTTGTGTACTTTATATAAAATCATATTTATTTTTAGTGATTTCAGATTTTCCAAGCTCTTTCCTCATATTATCTCAGTACAAATATTTCACCAGCTGTAAAATAGGGATAATGAACATGAGAACTTATTTGCCTATAGTCACAATACCAAAATTATAATTAAAATGAAGTCCGAGTTTGAAGCATTTTCTGCAAATAGTTAGCCTTATAAAAATATATGTAATGGAGAAACTGACTTAAATATGCATCGAAGCCCTTTGACCTTTCAGCTACCCTTACCTCTTCACTTCCAGTAAGTCTTTTTCACCTCCAAACCAGTTTCCTCATCTGTAAAATGAGGCAGCTAAAATATGTCCAATGTCTGTTCCAACTCTAAATCTTGTGATCTTGAGGCAGAACCAGACTATCTCCTCTAAATAAATTTTATTCATTTCTATGTGCCTCTTAACATTGAATTTATATTTCCATGTTTTTAATCAGTAAAGTATCATAGGAAAAGAACTAGGATTGAATTCGGGTTCTGCTACATATGAATCATGTGACTTTTGCTTTCAATTCCTCATCTGTAAAATGAAGGGTTTGGGCTAGATCTCAAAGATCCTATTAGCTCTAAAACCTCTTATCTAATGTGTTTACAAATGCAAAGCACCCAAGGGCCCAATGAGATAATCTGTTTCTAAACTAGAAAATCAGTCTAGGAAAAAATGTTGTAGATTAAGGATCTGACTCAATTTTGGTCCTTCTCAGAACATACTTGGTCACTTAATCTAAATTCTGATACTGTGAAAAGACCTCTGTTGCCTTTGGAGTTTAAAGATCTACCTTCAGATCCCACCTTATTACCTATAACCTTGAGCAAGTCACTTTACTGATCTGGGTCTATTTCCTCCTCTATAAAATGAAGGGGTGCTTTGATAGATGGTCTTTGACCTCCTTTCCAGCTCCAAATCTTTGATGCTATGTCAATAATTCTAACTCTCCTTGCCCATGTTCATTAACACCAGGCATCTCCTACACCCTCTTCTATTCATTGGAGGCCAACATTAATGTCATATAATCCAGATTGTAAAACTGATAGTTAAAACTTGAGCATTTTTTCAGATGCATTAGCATGACTTTCCCCTGGCTCTGCCATGGGTAATCTAAGAGGTAACTTCTAATACAGTTGATTTGGTAAGTCAATGCTTGATTTAAATTAATACAATTTTTTTTAATGGAAGGTTGGTTGGGCATTTTTTTTCTACCCCACATCTTTCAACACCAAAAAAGACCAAACCTGTCATATCAATCCTGAGCAGTCCAGATCTCTTAATCCAAGAGCAATAACAATGAGCAGTTTGAAAGCCTTATTTATACCCATTACTATAAAGAAGAGTTCATTTCAAATGTGGTAAAATATACTTGTCTACATAAATTCAGATGAAAACTAAAGCCTTATTCTGGACTAATAGCCCTTATGTAAAGGTACATAAGAAGGGCTATACAAGTAATAAGCATCAAAGGTAGCATTTGAGCCTAGGTCTTCATACTCTGTGGTACCAAAATGTACACAAGAAGGACTACAATTATTAAAAGACCCATATTGAGAGAGCCAGACAGGATTGTTAAGAGATAGGGGATTAGAGTAAGGATTTTTTTCCCTGGGGGTGTGTGTGTGTGTGTGTGTGTGTGTGTGTGTGTACTGTATTTTCCTGCCCCTGCCCTCTTAAATGTCTGTGCCCCAAAATATGCTTCTAAAGGATTTGAAAATGGCAACCCTACTAATATTGAATAAACTGACCATGAGCTGGTTTGTGTTATAGGGCCTGCCACTTGAAACATCAAAGAAGCTCCCATAGTGATCCTGAGCATCTCACATAGCAGAGTCCTACCCTACCATCTCCTTAGAGATGTTGGGACCTGAGTATTCTTTGAATGTGACCAAGCTCCCTTTCGGTTAGACTGCTCACTCTCTCTCTGCCCTGAGCCCTTCTTTTAATAACAACTTCTGAATGCAGAGGAAAATGGGAGAGGGCTAGGTAAAAATGAAGATGGTATGAGAAACCTTGCTGCTATGGAGGGCAGCGGAGTAAAATAAAAAAAAATAAAAATAAAAAAAACCTAGGCAGTATGAAGAATTGATCTAATGCACTGCCTGACTTGCCTTACAGGGATCAAACAACCCAAAGACCTAAGTTCTTTCATAGCTCACCAAGAAACATTGAATTCTTGCATTTGGAACTCTCAAACTACTTCCACAGGAGAACTCTTAGTACTTATGGTTCCCTCTAATTTTATGGTAGGATTGTTTTAGGACCAAAAACTATTTAAGGATGCCTCATGATATCAAGGAAACAACATTATGGTACACACAAGGAGTCCTGGATCCTAGTATACACTCACATAGCTAGTTAGTGTGAAACTCTGATTTCACAAGGTATTTGACCCCTCTGAGCCTGCTCTTTGAACTGGAAAGGATTTTGCATATCAATTTCAGGATTCCTTAAAAATAGATTTCTCCTCACTCTAACCTTTGGAGAGGTCTTGCTGTATTTTGAATGTACCTGAGACACTTAGTATCTGTATGAGCCTGAGTAAGTCACTTAACCTCTCAGCCTAAATTTCTTTATCTACAAAACAGAAATAATAGCACCAAGCTCACAGGTTATTGTGAAGCTCAAATGAGATAAGTTGTGTAAAGTGTTTTGCACTGAAGAGTTATTATTAGTTGAATGAGAGACAATAGCCTTTAGCCAAGAGAATCACAATAAAACAGCACCTTACTAAGGACTCTCATGAGCAAAAGTGGGAACTAGGGGAAGAAAAGGGGTGTGTTTTGAGGGTGGGAGAGCATATCAATAGATGGCTGCTGAACTGATAGAAGAAAAACTACTCATGTGAGGTATGTTGTCAATGATCACCATGATCCAGCTCACATTTAAAACCACGATATTGACTAACACTGTCTCTTTTCTTTCTAAATTTAATAGGAAAGCAAAGATCTCCTGTTAGTGGATCTAAACTCTGAAATTGACACCAATCAAAATTCTCTAAGAGAAAATCCCTTCTTAACCAATGGCATCACTTCCTGCTCGCTTCCTCGACCAAAGCCCCAGACACCTTTCTTGCCTGAAAATGCTTTTTCTGCCAATCTCAACTTCTTTCCCACCCCTAATCCTGACCCTTTCCGTGATGATCCTTTCACCCAACCAGACCAATCGACACCCTCTTCATTTGATTCTCCCAAACCTCCAGATCAGAAGAAAGAGAATCTGAATAGCTTCTTACCACTTCCACTGAGTAATGGGTCTCTGAATGGCGATTTTGATTACTTTGGGCAACAGTTTGACCAGATTTCTAATCGAACTGGGAAACAGGAGCCTCAGACAGGCCAGTGGCCCTTTGCAAGTTTGCAAACCCAGCCTGCAATAAGAACTCAGAATGGGGTACCTGAAAGAGAACAAAATGGCTTTATCACATCTTCCCCCAATTTTTTTGTGGGGAGCCCTTCCAAAGGACTGTCACTACCCAACGGAATAAAGCAGGACACAGAAAACTCTGCCCAGTTCTCACCACATGATTCCATAACAATTATCCCACCTCCACAAAGTACCAAACCTGGAAGAGGCAGAAGGACTGCTAAGGTGAATTACCTTCTTCACATATCCGTTGGCAGAATGCATGTTCGGTACCAAAGGGTGGCTTAATGCAAGCTTTTTTTTTTCACTCTCTCTGCTATTATAACTCCCAGAGTGTGGCTGTAAGATAGAAGGTGGGACCAGTCACGTCAGTTCTCCAGGAATATTTCCCTCTAATCATCCATTGTTCTTAAATTTCCCCTTCACCTTACAGCAGTGTTTGTCACCTGCTTTCCACTTGCATGCTTTATCACTTAATAGATTTAACTAAACAAGTTTTCTATTTTAATGCTGCCGGGCTTCTGTATCTCTGGTAAGTTGATCTTTACATACTATGGGGCAAAGGTCAGAGTTAGCCTTGGAAAAGTGTTGCCACAGTCTCTTACTTGTGAAACTGGGGGCTTCATTAAAGAAAAAAATAGATATTCGTTCTAGGATTGATAAGTAGAAATCAACCCATTACTATTTTAGGTAGTAAATTCATCCTTTAGATTTGTATGTCTCAAAGCATATTGGTCTTCATGTCTAATACAAGTGCAATGCAATGGCCTAGATCTCTTCTTGGTCAAGTGTTTCCATCTGCAAATACTTTTCCAGCTCTTAGGCAGATTACGTAACAAACTGGGGCAGGGGGGTAATGGGACCATCTCAAGCAGGTATCAGTAAAGTAAAAAACAACAACAACAACAACCACAACAACAGCTGAATGGGAATTAGACCTGAGGTATAGTTCTGGTTCTGTTATTAACTCGCTTTGTCTGCTCATCTGTAACATGGGATGATTGGATAAGCTCCACAAGGCCCTTCCCTGATCTGATGTTCTATGACAGTTATCTAACCTGATCTTTCTTGGCCAACTATTCAGTAGAAAAATGACTAAGGTTCCAACTGTTCTCATACTGCCAAGAACAGACTTTTGGGTTTTAGGAAATTCGGTCTTTCCCTTTTCTGAAAAGTGAAGGGTGAGAATCGTCTTGATTATTTGCAATTATCAAACTAATTTTTTCTATTTTTTTCCCTCCCTATCCTTCTTCTTCCTCCTCCTCCTACCACCACCAGTCTCCAATGAATGATATATTTGGGTCAGATCTTTTTGCCGCTCCTACCACAGAATCTCCATCTCAGATTTCACCAACAGGACAACCTACAGTCTTGCAGAACAATCCTATGGACCTCTTCAACACTAATGCTCCATCCTCAGTGGGTTCCCTGACTGGTCTAGGTAAGTTTGTCAGTTTCCTGTCCCCTTTTTATTAAAGTCTCTAGTTATAAGAGTTCTGAAGAGCTAGAAGTGGTTCTAATATTCCCAACCTGAATTTGAAAAGCATCAAAGGAAAGGTGGGGTGAAGGGAGAGGTGACTTCCCTTTCATATAGGCAAGGCCTGTGTAAGTGTCTACATGTGAATTAAAATGTACTCCAGTATCCAGAATATGGGCAGCTAGATGGTGCAATGAATGGATAGAGCACTGGGCTTGGAGTTAGGAAGACTCATCTTCCTGAGTTCAAATTTGACCTCAGAAATTTAGTAGGTGTGTGACCCTGGGCAAGTCACTTACCCCTGTTTGCTTCAGTTCCTCATCTAAAAAATGAGCTGGAGAAGGAAATGGCAAATCACTTCAGTATCTTTGCCAAGAAAATCCCAAATTGGGTCACAGAGAGTTGAATGATACTGAGAATAACTGAACAACAACAAAAATCCAGAAAATATTCTCACTGATCTGCTGTAGAAAAGTGAAATGCTACCATTTGAGTGATTCCTTTAGGTTATCACCATCATCATCATTATTAGACTGGAGCTCTAATTTCATCAGCATATGGAGCCTCCCAGTGTGGAAACACCCAGTTAGCAATGCAGATTGACACCTGCTTTGCAATTTATAGTCTTAAGAGTTTCCCAGGGCATTGTGTTAAAATGACTTGCCCCCATAATCACACAGTTGGATAATCACAGCAGGGGTGAGAACTGAACCTAGATCTTCTTACCTCTGTTTCTGTATCCACATTTATATGATAAGTCACAGAACCTGGAACCTTAAGCCTTAAACCAATTCAATTTTTAAAAATAAATAGATAATTAAAAAAGATAAAACTGACTTATGAGACCCTTGACTAAAAGAGCTGATAGGTAGCTTTTTAAATTTGAGTTTTGTACAGAAGTTCCAGAGAGCATTTGGTCCTTGGGGATGGGGAAGGGTTGAGAACAGTAATCATAAGCCAGAGTGAGAAAAGGCAGGCTGCTTCCTGAGGACGGGTGGGCACAGAAGAACATCACACCTCCTTCACAATTTGACCCTGGGCTGGCTGGCTCAGCAAGACCACTCTGAACAGCCTCCCATTATTTTCGGACTTGTTGCTAATTTCAGTCCTTTCAATAAATGTCTGCCATTGGTGGAGAGGGAGGGACTGATTTTTGCTGCTCGGCACCTCTACAGACTCCCCCCGATTAGTAGTGGGAAGGTTCCAGGTAGCATTCTCTTCCCTTTTGTAGAACTTAAACCAGAAATGTTGGATTTCTCTGATTTTGACACTGGCTCAATCATTAGGTGTGCCTTTCTTCAGCAGGAAAATGTTTTCACAGTGTCATGCTAAATCTGTTGAGTCATGTCTGGATGGAGGCAGGGTGTTGCCCAGCTGCCGAATGGCTGAAGATTTTTTCTTGTACATATTCCCTACCTTGCTCTGATTCTCTTTGAGAGCACTTATGCAAGAAACTCTTCCTAAATGTTCTATGATCTTTCTTGGGCTTCATTGTTCCACTCCCTCCCCTGAAATGGCAGTAATAAACATCCCTTTACAGCAAGGAGAAAAATGCCTGCATGTCATGGCTACGATTAAATAAAGTCAGAGAGCTCTAATATCAACGCCTTGAAGAATTTTTATAGCAAATATTTTACTAGTCAGCCTGCAAATACAGCTGGACCCAATAACTGTTAATTTATTCAAATGAAGTGAAGCTTTTTGGCGGGGTGCCCCCATTGAAGCCTTGGGATGAACAACAACAGAATACTGATGATTCTTCAGAGTTTGGCCACTGCAGTAAAATGAGCTCTACAGTATAGTCCCTGTCCACTAGCTGTGAGCCTCCATCAAGCCACAGAAGGTTGTAGGTCTGGCTTCCGCCCCCAGCTGGGCAATCACATCTTGTTGCGGGCTGGTGGGGGTAGAAACCTCAGCACTCTGATGCTGCACACAGCTGAGAACCGGCATCAGGAGGACAGGAGACTGACCTGATGTACACCTCCTTCCTTCCCTACCCCTTGCTCTGCCTTGCACCCCCCCGCCCCACACACATACAGTGGCAAGACCTGGAGAACTTTCAAAATGGCCTCTTCATGTGAGTGTATGATGAGGAAGAGGAAGGAAGGCTGAGGACTGAAAAGGTTTTGGCTCTTGCTCTTTAGAGCACTTTTCTCTTCCTCCTTGCCCGTTAACCCTCATGATTAAAACCACAAATTTTGCTTCTAAGAGAATAAGAGTAGATAGCACAAAGACTGGAAAGTTTGTGAAATGCTAACCTGTCTTTTTTGTTATTCCACAATTTTTTTAAATCAAATTAATAAATAGTGAGAGAAAAGTTTTTAATGAAACTAAAATGACAAGTCATCTCAACTGAGTTATTCTCTTTTTTTCCACTTAATAGTATTTTATTTTTTCTAATTACGTGTAAAGATAGTTTTCAACATTCACTTTTATAAGATTTTGAGTTCCAAATGTGAGTTATTCTTTCTACCATCTTTGAGTCAATCTAGTTTTTAGGGTTATTTAAAACTGCTACATCAGAGAATTCCAGATTTAGATCTGAGAAAGCTCTGAGGTCCCTTCCAACTGAAGTGTTAAGTGACTTACCCAGGGTCATACCACTATCAAGACAAGTTCTGAACCTGGGTTTTCTTGATTCCAGATACAGCACGCTATCCAACGTACTCTGCTGTCTCTCATACCAAAGGATCAGCTCTTCTCTTAAGTTAAGCAATGGGAGAGCCTCAGGCTAAGTAGAACGGTAGAACCCATCAGTCCCCTTACTAAAATCAGCCAACATTCTATAGTAGAAGACTTTAATTATATGGATATGCCAAGGTTAAATTCCTATGAAATAAAGGAATCTTAATTTTCCTCCTTGCCTACCCTCTGATTCTCCCACTATCTCTACTTTAGTAAGTACAGTGGTCAGGAAATGGTAGTTGGAAAAACTTGTTACAATATAGTCTAAGACAGAATATTAACTTGGTGCCCAAGAAGGCAACTTAGTGACAGAAATAGAGAAAAAAATATGGAGACAAATGTAAGTTCCAATCTCATTAGCTATGTGAACTTGGAAATCTGGGCCTCAGTTTTCATCCTCTGTCAAATAAATTTAGAGGCCAAGGGTGGGGAACCTGAGGCCTTGAGGCCACATGTGGCCCTCTAGGTCCTCAAGTGTAGCCCTTTGACCAAATTCAAATTTCACAGAACAAATCCTTTTATTAGTTTTTATTAATTTATTTTTATTTAATTATATTTATATTTTATATTCATATATAAATCTATAATATTTTATATTTGTTAATGTATCTGTACATAATATGTTATATAATATTTATATATTTTTATTAATAAAAGGGCCACATGTGACCTTGAGGTTCCAGGTTCCCCACCCCTGGTTTAGACTGTTTCTAAAGATCCTATCAGCTCTACCATTCTCAATTTTTTTCACTGTAGCAGACAGGTGCAATTTGGTAAAAACTAGCCAATATTTTGTCTAGAATAAAGTTCTATTGTATTTAAAATGTAAGATCCATTCTTAGCTCATGGACTGCATAAAAACTGATAGCAGGTCAGATTTGGCTCAAGGCTGTGGTTTGCTGACCCCTGGTCTAGATCATGGTGATCATATAAGACATCAGAGTTAATTTAGACTTTCCCATAACCTCTGTGTGTGTGTGTGTGTGTATGTAAGAATAAACAAGGCATAATATTATACTACTGCTAATAATAAATTGAATTTATCAAGCACTTTTAAAGTTCACCAAGTGTGGTGAAGTCCTAGAGAATTGTTTGTTTGTTTGTTTGTTTTAATATATCTCTCATCTGATATTGAAATAGCATAAGGTCTCTTGTTCTATTCTGGCAGGCCTAGGAAACTGATGAACTAAGTAAGTGTCAGACAAGTTCAAGGATGGTGGAGTTTTGAAATGAGGACATCAGCTATATGTTTTCTTTTTCATGTTTGTAGAGATGAATTGTGGCTAAGAAGGCACCCTAGGTTTCCAGTGCCCCAGGGAGAAGGTGAAAGAGGAAACGTGTGAAGCATAGAATAAGCTTCGGGAGGAAGGGAGGACTAGTTTGGCACAATTGGAGAAATGGTTTGATTCTAATGACAGGCTTATAAGATAGCACATGAGACAGACATATGTTTAATAGCTTGGACGTAGAGTTCATTTAGGTTTGAGGAGAGTACCTCATAAATACCTTCACTTGCTTCTGCCTTTCTGATTAGAGGACTGGAGGGCAGAGGAAAAAACTCCCATCCCCTCCTTTTACCAAGGCCTTAAAATCCCAGCCATCTCTCCATTTGCAACCAGCTATCAGGCTTGGTTTTGACTCCACCATCATCATGAACATGCCCCGAGGATAGACGTATCACCAGGAAATGCACCTTGGTGTACACTGCTTCAGCTTCATGCACACATACCTCATTAGTACCCTCCTTTGCTACTGCCTCTTGATTGGAGGGTTGAGTATAGAGAAGAAAAAACTCCTCCCGCAGCCTCCCTTAAAAGAGAACTCAGAAGCTCCATCATTGTCTCAAACTGGGTGCTCTCCCCCAACTGCTTTCCTGCTTCGTTTTGACTGTTGTCTTCCCCATTAAATTGCAAATTCCTTGACAGCAGAGACTTTCTTCTCATTATTTGTATCCCTAGCACTTAGCACAGTACTTGACATAGAGTAGGCACTTAATAAGTGTTTGTCATATATTTTATCTCACCATTATCCTCAGATTCCTGGCCAGGTTTACGCTGGGTGATAAAATGTAAAAAAGCTAATTTTGATTTAAATTTGATTTAAAGTAGTCCTCTCAGCAATACCTTTAACAAGTCTCCCATTACAGTCACAACTAAAACTTTTTCAGATCTCCTCTCTATCAACACTTGATGAATTAAAATCAACAGAAACTATGAAATGGTCCCCATAGGATGTGAGCAGAATGAGTTTTCATGAAAACGAGCTGTCATTGATGTATTAGAATTATCTTAAAATTAACCATCCAGGTGGTGGCTAACCTGGCTTTGTGTATAGGTATTGTTAAATTACATTCGTGCAACAAGGGTGTTCATTTCCTCCAATGTTCAGGTACTTAAGAAAACTACCATAGGATACTGTTGATGATTTAATTCTTCTATCTTTTACATTTCTCATTTGGTGAAATATAATATTTTTCCTCTCTATTCCTTAGGTGGTTTACCAGTATCAACACCTCAGACAGGACCATGGAACCCACCATCATTAGTTTTCAACCAGTCCACCTCAGTGCCCATGATGAGTTCTCAGCCTTCAGGATTTAGTCAGCCTCTTACCTTTAATACAAACCCAACAGTCTCAGGCTGGGATCAGCCAACATCCTATGGAGCCCCAACATCACCCTCATCCCCTCCTCTCTGGGGCTCTACCACAAATGTGCCAGCTAACACATGGCCAGCACAAGCCTCCTTGGGGAACCCTTTTCAGAGCAACATATTCCCAACAGCAGCCTCACCTGGCCAGCAATCTTCTGTGCTTATCTCAGGCTCACCACCTCAGCCCCCTCCCAGAACTGTCCCACAGAAGGATATCTCTTGTGATGCCTTCACTGCTTTAGATCCACTTGGGGATAAAGAAATCAAAGAGGTGAAAGAAATGTTTAAGGACATCCAGCTGAGGCAGCGACCAGCAGTGCCAGCAAGGAAGGGGGAGCAAGCATCCTCTGGGGCCTCAGGAGCCTTCTCCAGTTACTTCACTAGCAAAGTTGGAATTCCACAAGAAAGTACAGAGAATGAGGAATTAGATGCTAATCAGTTGTTGGCCAAGATAAATGGTAAGGCATTCCCCCCCCCCCACACACACACACAACCTTATCCAAGGTAATCAGGTCCAGAAGAACCCAATACTAGCTTCTGTCTTATTTCATTGACCATCCAATAGCTCCATAAAAAGTTTAACTATTTATGTCTTGGAATACATTAAAGAATCAATTGTTATCTTTGGAAAAAACTGGCCTGATATTGCCCCCTAGTGACAGGTGTCTTGGCACTGATAATACTAGCCTTCAGAAGTACTAGAAACACTGTCAGTGTTCTCGGGGCTAACTCCTAGTATCCTGGTAAAGCAAATGGTCCTCATTCAGCTTCTGCATTGATTCTACCTTAAACAGCTTTAAAAGAAATCTTAAAATCCTCTACTTCATGATAACAAGTCCCTTCACTTTGAGTCCACAGATTGGGGGGCAGAGGGGTAGGCGTGAAGGGGAAGGAATAAGCATTTATTGAGTGCCTACTATGTGCCAGACATTGTCCTAAGCAGGGAATCAGACCTATAAATTGATCAGTCTAGGGAATTGCCAATGTGGATGAGGAACTCATCTGTAACATAAGTCTTAATCACTTAATATAGTCTCATACACTGAGAAGTTTAAATCACTTGCCAGTCAGATAGCCAGTGGGTGTCAGAAGCATAATTTGAATCCATGTCTTCCTGAATGTAATCTGGCTTTCTATACACAATATTGCACTTGGATTCTTTAACTGCCTCACAATTCTGAGAAACAGTATGTAAGCTCTTTTATCAAACTGAATGAGATTGGTATTTATAAAATGATTAGCACAGTGTCTACAACACAGGGGACATGATAAATGCTTGTTCTTTATCTAATTGAGGCAAATGTTAACAGGGAGACTATTTAAACAAGAAGCCATTCTACTAAGTAGCACATTTTGGATTTTTGTTCTTTTTTTCTTTTTAAAGAAGCACCAAAGCCAGCTCCCAGGCAAAGCACCCCTTTAGCTTCCAAGCCAGTGGAAAGTTCATTTGAGAACCTTTTTGCAAAAGATCCTTTCCGTTCTCCATTGCAATCACCCGTAAGTATGATTATTGGGAGAGAAACCTAATAACTCGGCAAATTATTATTCCAAGGTACTAATGCTCATACCTTGTAAAACTGGTAGAATCAGATTATTCCATTTTAATTTTTAGTTAATCTTACTTTTAATTCTTAATTCATAAAGTAATATTTCTGTCATACATACACAAAAAGATAGAAGAATCAACTTTGAGAACTGCACTCATCTTTGGCACATTGCTTCCCTTAGAGAAAGATAATAGTTATCCCTTTCACATTTCAGGGGTTGGGGCACAGCACCCCACAATCTGGTAAATCTGTATAAAAATTTTTGGCCCTCCCTTCATACCATGGAAGTAGTCTGAATTTTTTTTCTTTTTCTTTTATGGGGTGTTTACAGTAATATATATATTATGCATTTCTGAGTTTCTAAACTTTTTCTATGTCATCTGCTGGCCTTTTCATATTGCCTGGGACTTCCACAAACCTCCCAAAAAACTCTCATTTAATTTCTTAAGCCGACTCACTATGTATCCCTTGATAGGGAAAGTTGAGATGTGGGAAGGATAACTATTATCTTTCAATGATAGCCACATGCTTTCAATTGTTACAGCTAGACAAAAATGGATACCTTAAAGTATGACGCCTGTCCTTGGAAGCATTTATTATGTGACTTAAAATCCTACTTTAAATGCTTTGCCAGGAGAAACTCAAAGCTGTAATTCTGCCTAAAAAGATTTAATTTCTTAATATGATTACCTTAATGGCAACAAATCACAGAAGTTACACCAAGTATCATGCTTAGGAAGCAAACTTCCTTTGCTAGCAGCTTGTGTTTTCATTTGGATCTAATTATTCAGCATCACCACTTGCATATCCACAGAGTTCTGTGGAACCTAGAGCTGTGTTCTCCCAACTATTAAGAAATTAGAAACTAAATGAGAATTTTTTGGGAGGTTTGTGGAAGTCCCAGGCAATATGAAAAGGCCAGTAGATGACATAGAAAAAGTTTAGAAACTCAGAAATGCATAACATATATACACAACTTTATAATCCAACTATACTTCTTAAAAAGAACTCTGGAAATAGTCTGAATTGTTTTCTTTATGATTAAGACAATTCATAGGTAAGACATAGAACTATATTCAAAGATAAGACTATTTATGTTTCCAATTGGATGTTGTATCTCCATAGACTGTGCCTCAACAGCCAACATCTTCTCATCTATATGGGGATCCTTTTGGAAATCGATTTGCATGACTTCTGTAAGTAGAAATTTCTATCAAGTTAATTGTCTGAGGGGAAATTAAATTTAGAATAGAAGTTAAGTGCCTTTTGCTTGGAGGTGACTTAGACCTGGGTTTCCATTCTTGAAACAGTAACACAACATTGAGGAGGATAGGTATCAAAGTTTGTTGGTGGTATGCTAAATAACTCAATTTCTTCCACACATGAAATCTATACCTTAGTTCTTTTGAACATAAGTTCTATATTCTTTATATATACTAAAACATCAAAACATGGAGGACTTATGAATTCTCCCAAATTGCCAGAAGCAAGCAGGATTTTCACATTGCTACATACACAATGGCATCTTGCTTATGTACGGAAACACTCACTGAACTTGTTACTTATAATAATAAACCAGTGTTCCACAGGGCCTGGAAATTTAAGGAGATAAGAGATCTCCTCAAGCAACCATCAAACACTAAGTAAGTATTGTTAATGACTACACCAAACACAGATGACACAAACATCTTGGCTTCTGCTCAGTCTGGATCCATAGTCTAGTAAAGTCATTCAAAAAGTATTTATTAAGTGTTCACTATGGGCCAGGCACTGTGCTAAGCACTGGAGACACAAGTTCAAGCAAAGAGAGCAGTTCCTGCCCTCAAGAAGCTTACATTTTGGATAACACCTAAGGACAAACCATTAAATGGAATGAAAAAGCTGGAGAGAAGAGAAATGTTACCTGGTGGCTGCATGAGGGCTAAGTATAATCATAATCAAGTCAGTTCAAACCTACTCTAAACTGTGGTGACTGTTGATGATGGTTGATTAAGCACATTTTTTAAAATGAAATTGCACCTTGGTGGTAAATATTTGTTGGTTGAGACAGATCATTGAATGCAGAAGAGTGATGTGTAACAAGACAGAAAGGGTAGGCTGAGGCCAGATGGTGAAGAAAAGGCCTAACCAAGGAGTTTCTCCTATAGAGATGCAGAGGTTCCAGGATGTTGGAGGCAGAGAAATAAAAGACAGTAAGCAAAGACATTTATTGCAAACACCTTCTGAAAGTGAAACCTTGTACTGCAAAATTAGGATAATTGAGCACTGTTGCTTAGCTCATACTGAATAATTCATTTACATGAGACTTTAAGATTTGCAAAGCACTGTAAGTCCATTCATTCTTTATGCAGGTAAGATTGTTCCTTCCTTACCATCTCCACAGATGAATGCTTAATTTGTGCAAAACTTTAGTTACACAGGAAAAAAAAAAAAGAAATCCTGAGAATTGATTAGAAATTCACTGTAGTCTTGGACTTCCTTTATACATTTGTGAAAGTCTCAATAAATAAAGATCTTATAAGTACAACCCACTTGTACAAAATATCAGTTGGTGGAAAGAGCACCATATTTAAAGTCAAATAAACTAGACTGGAATCTCACCTCTGCCATTTACTCCCTGGAAGACCTTGGGGGAGTCGCTTAAACTCTGAGGACCTCAGTTTCCTTGTCCATAGAATGGGAGAGTAGACTAAACCACCTCTGTGGTCTCTTCCAGTTTTAAATCTATGGTCCTTCGTTGGCTGGTTTATTTGGATATTTCTCATGATTTATCAGGCAAAACTATGTAGGGATGAAGGAGGATCAGACTTCCATTGGTTTAGCCCTGTTTGACAGAATGCACACAGAAACTCCTAGTTAAGCCTCCAGTTTCATGAGAAGGAGATTCAGAATGAGCGCCAAGGGGAAGATGTGCTTGATTTTCCGTGTGTGTTCACACAGGTCCCTGGTCCTATACCTGTTACATGAGAAGAGAATAGTAAATAGCTTTGTCTTTGGTTTCAAGCATGACTAGCCCACACCAGTTAACTTTAAACATATCAGATGTTGTCAGTGTATATTGTGCTTTTTATTTTTAAAATACCAAGTGTCTATTGGATAAGGATTGGAGAGGGGAAGGAGGAAGAGAGCAGGAAACTCTTAACATATATGGAAGATAGCTGCTAATCTACAAAATAATCAGAGCTGCTATTCTATCACCTTGGGCTTTTTTTGGTACCGTACCTTTTACTTGAAAAGTATACACTGTAATGAGATTTCTCTTCTACTTCAGGCCAATTAGGGGACAGTTTAATGGACTAGAGAATGAATGTAATTTCTCTGAGAGCAGCACAGTTTACCCTCAGGGAGTGGTTTTCCTCTTGGGGATTGTAAATTACTTCCTACCTGTGGCTTCTTCTTACTTAATGATATCTGAATCTGTGTTCAATTTTTAATTCCCCAAAAGCTGCACATTTAGTCCCACTGATAGTGAAACAAATTAGAATTATATTCTGTGTATGTATAGATTTGTAACTTTTTTTCTCCCATTCTTCATTAGGATTTTGGTGCATTCCCTATCAAGATGAACAAAAAGGTTGGCCGCATTTGCCAAGGACAGAGCTACTAGTGGGACAACTTCTTGTTGCAAGCTCCAGCTTCAACATTCATTACCTTTTGCCTTATTCGTTGATGGCTTTTTTTTTTTTACTTATAGAGATATCTTTTCACTTTTTGCCCAGACATAAAGCTAAGCTTCAAAGCTGTGGCTTGAAACATAAGATATAAGAACCTGACCTTCCAAATCTGAAAACAAGTGAAGTCAAGAGAATTTCTCCAATGTGGGGAGGTGGGGATAGGAGAGTGTGTCCCCTTGAGTCCTCCACCTTTACTTTCCCAAAACACTTGGCATCTCACAAAGGATAAATATTAAATAATACCATCTGAATACACACTCCTTCCAGAACTTTTGCTCTGCTAACAAGTTTGGAGTTACCTTCACTTAAGGTTTAGAATTTGTATGGGTTTTTTTTCTTTATTTTTTTCAAAGGCTTACAAATTCATGGTTATAGGACTGAGCATTTATTAAAAAATAAGACAAAATCTTGCTTTTCTTCTCCTCTTCCCTTTCTTCTCTAATGATGTGATGAAGTAAACTAAAACAAGTCCTTCAACCACTGATAGATATTTGTTGTCACATTCCACATCTCCAGACCTCCCTTTTCAAAAGATGGGAACCCTTTTTGAAGCTCACTTTTGGGAAATTCTCCCTGTCCTTATTGCAGGATTGACTTTGTTTTTTTCCCTCTGACCCAAAAGCTATAACAAATAGTGGATAAGCATGTTGGGGGGAAGGTAGCTTTTTCTCCCCCAAACCTACCCTCACCCCCAAAACATTCACAATATGACCCACTTCCTAAAGTTTCACTTACTTTGACCTAACACTATCACTTTCACCCATTTGCAGAGCTGGCAAAATTCTTTGGGTTTATGGGAAAACAGTCTCTTTACCAAATCACAGGTCTCACACGGTTTTGCTGCCTTTTGGTTAAGAGAGAGTGTGGTCACTTCATCACAGTCACTCACCTAGTAGGCACATACTTTTTTTCCTTAACTGAATAAGAGGCCACCACCTTGAATTCAAGCTCCAGAATCCAAACCTTTTGATAACACTTTTCAGTGAGCCTGCTAGAAGTCTACTCAGCATGGAGGTATTGTACTCAGTCCATTTATTAAATGAAGTGATTGACCCAAAAGCCTCTGGAGTTTTTGGTGGTTACATTGGACCCTTTGAAGCAACTAGGGAACTTTCTTCAAACAACAGGCTAGAGATTGGTAAAGACAAAATAAAAATGATTAGAAGATGTCCAGAACCTGAAGTATCTGAAGATATTGGTTATAATCATGGTTATATCGACCTTTTTTTTCCCTCTTTTTGAAAAACCAAAAACAAACTTGAACACTTTCCCGGTATATTTTGTATCTCTACTTTTAGCACAATTATGAGAGTGAATTTTTGCCAAAATGAGTTTTGTATTACATGTGTGTTTTTGTTTTTCTTGTCTTTGACCCTTAACTCTCAGGTTCTTGTGGGTGCTAAACATCCACATTCAATGTTAATTTTGGGTGGAGGAAAAGGATACCTGCCTGCAGTGTCAACCAGCTGGTAGACTCATGCACCTCTATTGATTTAACCCTAAGCCCTAAATAATTGTCTAAGGTAAAGTTAGGGTGACATGTCTAATGATAATAGCTGATCAATGTATAGGCTTAACCTTTCTGTCTGACTTTCTGCTCAACCATTTATAAATATGAACTTGAAATAGTATTTTAATGTCCAAATACTTAAACTTGTGCTAAAACTGGAGACAATTATTTGTAGGTAACTGGGATTTTTGAAAGTAATTTCTTGAAACTGAATTTCAGCCACACATGTCCTGTACAGATCTGTTTTTCTCCTGTGCACTTTTCTGTAATACAAATAAAGCTATGAATTTACTACATCTCAATAAACTGGAAATGCAGAATTGTGCGCATCTTATCCATTTGTTCTATCTTCTTGAAATCCAGTTCAGATAAATTATGGGGTATTTTGTGCTTTAAAGTGGGGCTGAAAGAAGATAGAAAAAGGTAGGTAAAAATCAGTGGTGTTTTTTTTTTTCAAAGTTAGCTCATCTCACCCCATCTTCCCCCATTGCCTGACCTCCAATGAGAAGTAGATACTAAAATGAATCCAAATTATACCCCAATTTCTCCAATTAGAATTTGCTGCAGTGTGAGGCAGCTTTGGTTGTGTACAAAATTAGCCTCAGAGTCAGGAAGGCCTAGAGTAAGTTCTCACCTCTGACACGATGTTAACCTCTTGGTGCCCTCACACAAAGTTCTAAGTTGCAGAACAATTAGACAGGTAGGTGGTATATAGAGTGGTAGACCTGGAGTCAAGAAGACCTGAGTTCAAATCCAGCTTCAGGCATTTACTAGCAATGTGACTCTACACATTACCTTTTTCTCTTAGCTTCCTAGTTTGTATAATGGGACAGCTAGGCAGTAAAGTGAATAGAATGCTGGGCCTGAAGTCAGGAAGGCATCTTCTTAAGTTCAAATCTGGCCTCAGATACCTACTAGTTGTGTGGCCCTGGGCAAGTCACTTAACCCTATTTGCCTCAGTTTCTTCATCTGTAAAATGAGCTGGAGAACATGGCAAATCATTCCACTATCTTACCAAGGAAACCCTAAATATGGTCACAAAGCATCAGACAACTTAAATGACTGAACAACAATAAAATGGGGATAATAATAGCACCTACCTCCCCGGATTGTTGAATAAAATGAGATACACACTGTGCTTTGTAAACCTTAAAGTGCTATATAAATATTAGCTATTATCATCAATTACCAATGGTGAAGTTTCCTCTTTGGTAGTAGAGTTTCCAGTATAATCAAGTATTTTTTTTAAATGCTGAGGATATAGACGAAAAAGTGAAAAAGCCCCTTCCCTTGTAGGAGATCACAGTCTCTACATAGAAGACAACAAATATTTAGATACATACAATACAGATATAAGGTGACGGGTGCGGGGGGGGTTGTGCAGCACTAAATAGCTTAAAGGATAGAAAAAAGGTGGTACTTGAGTATTGATGGAAATTAGAGATGGGAAGAGAGTGCGGAGGAAGTGTATTCTAGGTGGGGGGGGTTAGTCAGTGCAATGGCTTTGTAGGAGAAATCACAAGGCAGTCAATTTGGTTGGTTAATAAGGCTAGAAAGACGGATTGTGATCAGTTGATTTTAACTACCAACTAAAGGAGTTTATATTTGATCCTGGCGGTTAAAAAAAAAAAAAACGTCTGGAATTTTGGTTGAAGAATGACATGGTCAAACCTGTGCTTAGGAACATCAGTTTGGGCTGGATTGGAAAGAGACCTGGGCCAGGGCAACCAACTAGGAGGCTATTGAGGTAGCCCAGATGATGATTAGTGATAAAGGCCTGAATTTGGGTCATGGCCTTGGGAGTGGAGAGGAAGGAGAGAAGAGGAGGGAGAAGCTATGAGATCTGGCAGCTCGGTGAATACGTGTGGTTTTCCCTGAACATGGGACTTGTTCCTCTCTGGAGGAGTCTTAGACCTGGCAACATGGCTATTAATAGGCAGGCACTGCCTTGGACTATTAATAATAGCTAACGTTTAGGGATTGCCAGGTGGTATAGTGGATAGAGCACTGACCCTGGGATCAGGAAGACATGAGTTCAAATCCAGATGCTAACTGTGTGATCCTGGGCAAGTTATTCAACCCCAATTGTCTCCACCTACTCCAAAATATTATAACAATAATGACTAACATTGTAAAGCACCAACTATGGGCCAGGTACTGTGCTAAGTGTTTTGTTGTATTTTGGTCTTTTCTGACCCTTCGTAAGCCCATTTGGGATTTTTTTGACAAGATACTGGAGTGGTTTGCCATTTCCTTCTCCAGGTCATTTTAAAGATAAGGAACTGAGGCAAATAGGGTTAAGTGACTTGCCCAAAGTCACATAGCTAGTAAATGTCTGAGACTGAACTCAGGAGGCTGAATCACTCTATCTATTTTGCCATCTAGTTGTCCTCTATATGACACCACAATGCTTCAAGAGAGGTTCTATTATTATCCCCATTTTATGGAAGATGAAACTGAGGTTAAGTGATTTGTCCAGGCTCATATAACTTGTGAATGTCTGAGGCCTCATTGCCAACATACTATCCGTAGCCACACCTAGCTGCCTTAGCTGATTCCTATTAATCTCACCCATGCTATGGTCTCTGGTTCATTTCCAGAGCCAAGCAGGAAAAAAAAAATGTTTGGGCAAGCTTTGGCTATATAGATAAGTATCAGGATTGAACTAATTTTATTGCTAGAGTATCATGCAATGAGGCAAACTGGAGAGGAAGGAAAAACTATTTCAAAACAAACTAATCTAAGGTAAAGTAATTGAATGTAGGCATGGCCCACCTCTTGTTACTGCCAGACCTTCACTTGCTTCCTGCAGCTTTCCCTTCTCCACCCCCACCCTTCCATCCTGATGTCAGTAGATAAGAATGCAGAAAATAGCTTACACTTGGAGACTATGGCTTCCTAGCACTGCAGAAACAGCTATACCTGAACTAGGAGATTTGAGAAGTAATTCTCTTTTGTGCAAATTCTCTGCAAGATAATGATGCTTGCGTCTTGGGCCGGGGTTTGGGGGGCAGGGGAGGTGGAAGAAAATAAACCACTTCCAATAGGTTGCCTATTTCAGTCTTTTTGCTTAACCTTTTCAGTTCTCTCTCCAAGAAAGTTTAACCTTCATGCTTTTATCAGTGCTGTGAAGAGCAAGGACTTTTAATGAAGTGGAAACCACCTGCTGCTAACTAACCCAAGAGTAGAAAGAAATGCTTGCTCAAGAAGATTTGCTATGAGTGGGCCAGGGGAAACGGGGGAGAAATAAGGGCAGAACGACCTTGTCCTTGACTGGACACTTCACACTGGAAGTTATTTACTTACTAACACCATTCTCATCTGTGCAGATTTTAACAGTGGCCATTTTGTTTGTGACAGGGCTTCCTTTTTAGACAGTAAGAAAATATGACCTACAAAGCATAAATACACAATGGCCTTTTAAAAAATAAAATAAATATAAATCTCAAACTAAAAGTTGTATAAAGCATGATGGGGAAATACAAGAGGATTTCATGATGAATGCAAAACTAAAGCAAGGATTCCCCTTTACTTTTGTAAATGAGAGCCACAGTGCTGAAAATAGTAAAAACAGACAAGAGAAAGAAATTAAAGGCATAAATACAGGGGAAGGGAGAAGAGAGAGACAAAGCTATCATTATTTGCTACAGACATAGTTTACCTAGAAAATCCTAGAAAATCTGGGAAAAAACCCACTCTAATTGAGACAACAGCTTTAATAAAGTGGCAGAATACAAAATAAACCATAAAAAGCCATAGCATTGCTACACAACAATAACAAAATACAGGATCAAATAATCAGAAGGGAAGCCCCATTCAAAACAACAACAAATGCATAAAGTATTTGGGAGTTAAGCTGCCATGGCACACTCAATGAGCAATGATAAAAAGACACTTAAAGTAATAAAGAATGACCTAACTGGAATGCTCATTGTTGGTCTATGCCAATATAATAAAAATGACAATTTTCAAATTAATTTACAGATTTAAAGATAAATCTATCAAACTACCAAGGGAATACGTGTTACAGCTAAACAAAGTAATAAAATTAATTTGGAATAAAAAGGATCTAAAATTTCAAGAGAAAATAATGGGGTGGGGGGAGAATGAAGAGGGGAAAGCACTTCCAACACCTCAAATTATAAGTCTTTAATCACAAAAAGCATTTGGTACTGGTTACAAAATAGAAAAGTAGAGCAGTGGAACAGACTAGATAAGGAAGAATCAGAAACAATTGAATTAAAAAATCCAGGGCTCAATAAACCTGAGTACATAAATTACTTGAGGAAAGATTCCCAATTTGACCAGAGTTACTGGGAAAGGTGAAAAGCATTTGGCAGAAATTAGATTTAGGCAAACATCTTGCACTATATTACACAATAAGCCTCAAAAGGATATGACAACAAAATTAGAAGAGAACCAAATCAGGTATCATTCAGAGCAATAATTAGGGGGAAATTATTAACCAAACAAGGGATAGTGGTTATCACCAAAGATGAAATAGATCATTAGTTACCTGAAATGGAAAAAGCTTTTACACAAACAAAATCAATGCAACTAGGATAAGAAGGGAAGTGAATGATGGGGGGGCAGGGATTTTCATTAAATATCTTATATGCATCTGCTATGTATGCTATATATATATATATTTTATATATATATTATATATATATATGCTATACAAGAGACTAAGACAAATATATGAAACTAAACATCATTCCCCCAATGGATAAATGGACAATGGGTACAAATAATTCTTAAGAGAATTGTGAAGTATTAATAGCTATAGGAAATAGCTCTCCAAATCACTAACAGGAGAAATGTAAGTTTAAAAAACAAACAAATCTCTGAAGTTTCACCTGTGAAGTTTAAAAATACCATTTTGTGGCTTGGACAATCATCCATTAATAACATTGTCCTGTAGTACTATTGTTGTTATTCAGTCCTTTCAGTTATATCCAACTCTTCATGACCCTATTTGGGATTTTCTTGCCAGAGATACAGGAGTAGTTTTCCATTTCCTTCTCCAGCTCATTTTACAGATGAGGAAATTGAGGCAAACATGGTTAAGAGACTTACTTAAGGTCACACAACTAGTATCTGAGCCCAGATTTGAACTCAGGAAGAAGAGTCTTCATGACCTGAGGGGCAATGCTCTATCCACTTATGGCACTACCTAGCTGCCTTCCTATTAGGATCCCCACTCTGCCACTTTCAACCTACATGACTTTGGGTGAGTGACTACACCTCTTTAAGACTTATTTCCTCATCTTTAAAATGAAAGAGTTGGACTAGAAATAACCTCCAAGGTTTCCTCTAA